ACCGTACTTTGTGGGGTTCTCGGCTCGATCGATCCAAGTGAGGAGGGCCTCGAGGCCCTTCTCCTGAGCCGCAGCATTCTTGTCCTTCGATTATCTTCTTGAATTTGGGCGCTGTAAGTAGAAACGCGAAATGGCCTCCAGATGAGAACCACAACAGATCTTGCAAGATGTGGTGCACGTGAGGTGATGCGATGACGTGATGACGTATGGTACGTACCATATTCATCAAAGATGGCATTGTCGGTGGCCTCTTTGAATTTCTGCTGCAATTCTTCGAAGGCGGCTCGTCTCACCTTCCAGTTCTTGCTTTGGACGCGCTCTGCCAGCGGTCCCTTGTACAAGTCCTCATCGTCCGCCATTATGTGCGATTATAAATCGTACTTGCAGAAATTTGCTTCTCTCTTGTGGTGATGCAGGAAAAGAACGAAGAAAATGAAAGAACATGTTTTACCGCAGGCACTATTGCATGTGAGGCCAATAAAGTAGGTGTGGCTGGCTTACAAGCCTGGAAAAGTGCTGCTATCATGCTGGTGAGCACTTGCAACTGGTCTTCAAACAGCTTGTTGTGTTCCTCCAGCTGCTTGGCATATTCCACTAGGATTGTTCCTGCAGCTGTCACACATGTTTGGCTGGTCTCCCTTTCTGATACAATCAACAAGGAGGTTGACATCTTTGTAAACATCACAGCTGCTGTGAATGTGGAAGTAGGATAGTGAGGACTGTGGGTGATCTCCTGGAGGTTGTGAGCTTTTGCTCATGGGCCATGGTGTGGAGCTGGGCACAGAGGCACTGGAGGCCAACACCCTGGGCAAGCATGTTGCATCTGGAAGGCAGATGAAAAGAACAGGACAAGAGCAGAGCATTGTCAAGGCACTCAGGGGGGGGGTGAGGAGGTGCACACATATTGCAGTTTATGCCAGTGAATATTCAATGCCAGATAGATTTGTAGTGGCAGAGGCATTCAGAGAGAATCACAACTGAGGACATGCACATTGAGTGGCAGGCTGGAGAGAAGGCCATTGCCATGCATGTCAGCTCTTGGTTTCTGGTTCTTTGGAAAAGAATCAGGCATTGTACAGGCAAAGGCCAAACAAGGAAAGACACTATGCAAACAAAAAAACCAGACAATAACAAGGCAATCTCAAGGGAATCTTCATGAGTTCTCTCCTGCCATTGTGGACCATGCTGTTTCGAGGCCTCTTACAAGGTGTTTGACTCTTGCACGCACACGGACGAGCAGATGCCCGCGGCCACTGCGGACACGAAGCCGAGCTGGCCATGAACAAGCGCGACTGAGGCCAAATGAGTCGGCGAGGTACCGCGGAAGTCGTCAAGAGGGCTCTCCTATCGGCCAGCCCTCGTGCCGCAAGCGCTGATCAGTGCAACGAAGTCGAGAACCGCGACTGACAACTGCGTGACGCGCTTGATCGCAGGTGCTGACGCACGCCTGCGTCTACGGGGCGAGTCGGCCGGGCCTCGCGCTGCGTATCTCGCCGTCGGGTCCCAGCTGGAGCAGGAGGTCGGCCCTCTCGCTCCTCTGGTTGATGCGCACCACGTTGGGCAGGTCGACCCGCGCGTAGTGTCGCTCGGCGTCATCCGGGTCCCGCCCGCCGACGACCTTGCGCGCTACCACTCGGCGATGGCACTCGGGCTCGTCGACGTCGAGAAAGAGGCACACGTCGAGGTGGTCTCTGATCGCCTCGAACCCGAGCTCATCGTGCAGCAGCAGCAGGCCCTCGACGAGCACGAACGAGTGCTGGGACTTGATGGTGAGCGCGTCGGGCACGGGGTCGTGTAGTCGTCGATCGTAGACCGGCAGACGGATCTCCTTGCGTCCCGCATTGTCGCCGCCGCCGCTGCCGCCGCCATCACCGTCTTGGTGCTTGATGCGCTGCAGATCACGGACAAAGGCGGAAACGTCGAAGGACACCGGGTCGCCCTTGAACTGCCGCAGCGGCACCTCCGCCCCGTCCCTCTCCACGAAATGCGAATCTACACGACCGCACACGCGCGTTGCGTCAGTTGGTTGCGCGATTAAGGAATTGCTGATGGGGGTGGCTCACCGAGATAGGCGTTGGGGTAGTGGTAGGCGTCGAAGGCAAACACGCAGCTGACGTCGGCGTCGGTGTCGTCCTCCCCGCCGGTGCCCACCGGCGCAAACAGGCGGTTCAGCGCAAACATCAAGATCTCACTCAGCACGGTCTGTGTGGAAACATCTCGATTATGAGGAACGCCGCGCCTCGCTCAAGAAGAAGAGGTATGCACCTTTCCCGCGCCTGGTGGCCCACTGAGAACAATTCAATTAATCGTTTAATTCAAAATAAAGAAATAAATGACATTGAAAGAGAAATGCGAGATTGGAGCTCCTCGTACCAGATTCCAATGAGAAGGCGCCTGTTGGCGTTTCGCTGGTGGCGTTGCAGCCACAGGCAAAGGGGTAGAAAAGAAGTCCACACGGCGGGGTCGGAGGCCAGCAGCGAGGGGCTGAGCTGGGTGCGCAGGCCTGCTGCCTCCACGCTCCGCAAGGAGGCCAGCGCGGCCCGCAAGCGTAGAAAATGCTGCCAGATGTTGCCAAGCGATTGGGGGGCGGGTGGGTCGAGCGGTCGCGTGGGCAGAGAGCACAGCACCGCCCACAGATTGGATGGTGCGGGCTCCATTGTGTGCCGCAGGATCTGGGCCACCGCATCGTCGGACATCTGTGTGGGCGAGGTGGAGGCCACATCAAACAGGCGGACCAGTGCGGAGGCCAAGTCCCCGGCCCTCGCTTTCTCTTCCATCTAGATCTTTTAATTTATTTCAATTATTTTGGTCGGGAGTATTGGAGTGGCGCAAATAAAGAGAAATACCATAATTTGATTTTGATCATTTAGGATTCTAAAGAATGCACACGTCGAGCCTCAGGTTGCTGACGCCGCCACGTTCGCGCCAAGGCAGAAATCCACAGCCAGCCGTGCCTTGCTCTGCGGCCCGCACCTCCTCTTCGCGAGGTGCGAGTGCGAAGCTCATCTGTGCCTGGTGCACTGTGTCTACCGGCAACTCCCCCTGCATCGGCCGGGTCTCTTCATGTGCGCTGGCTCTTGCCCTTGTTCGCTTCCCTGCCAACCCATGTGCCGGCCGCTCGTGCCCGCTCCGCAACGTGCGGCGCCCAAAAAGCGGATATTTTCTCGCTTTTGCCTACCGAAATTCCTCTTCTCCAAGATTTTGTCCGGTTTCTGTACTTTTACGCTAAATAGACATAATTTATGCGAACACGTGGGCATATGGCGTGCACCGGAACGAAATTCGGATGAATACAGCGATTCAACGACCTATTTGACCAACAATGAATTCCGGGGAGAGTGGTAGTGGCTTACTCATCTGCTAGTAAGCCGCCACTCGTGCGTAGTAAGCCATGACGAAGGGCGCCCACGAGCGGGAGGTGAAAGGAGGGTGCGCCCAGCAGCTTCACCACGTCCCCTCCTTTTCCACAGTTTGCCTGTTTTCCCTCCAGTGTCCACAGTGCCGCTTTCCCCAGCACCATTACGCCCTCTTCCCGCTTCAGACGTCTTTCGTCCAGCACACACACAAGTCTTGCAGCGCGTCAGCACCACTCACCTTCTCCCGGGTCCTTCTTCTCGTACACGTGTGAGGTCCTACCACCTCCTTTACAGCCTCGCCAATGGACCCGCGACTGCCTTACCGCGGCGAAGAGGAAAGAGAACATGCCGCCTCGCTCCTGCTCCGCCTAAGCAACCAACAACTCCAGCAGCAGCAGCAAGAGCAACAACATGAACGACAACGTGCCCGCCGCCCGCCACCAACTTCACCACCCGCACCCGTAGCGAGTCCTCCCACTGTACTGGTCGACGAAGACGAAGCGGCCGAGAAGCGAAAGCTGTCGATCAACTTCCTACTCAACACGCCCGCAGCTTCGACCATGTCGCCAGTTCGAGTCTCCTCCTCTCCACCGACATCGATGACGTCGACCTCCTCCTCCTCCTCCTCTTCGAGCACGAGCGGGCGACGGTCCCCACCACTGCCGTCCCTGCCACCACTCCCCTCAGCTCTGCCGCACCACCACCCGTACCCGACCCTGCAGCCCGTCGGGCTCGCACCACCTCCCACCAACTTCTTCCCTTCTCCGCCGCCACCAGTCCTGCACCACCCGCACGCGCTCAGCGGCGGCGCGACCACTTCTCCTTCACCTTCTCCTTCGACGCCGTCGCCCGTGAACGCCTTCCTGCCCGCTCCTACTCGCTTCGGAGTCGCTGCGCCTCTGAGTCCGCCGTCGGCCCAGCTCCAGGGCCATCGCCTACCGCTCCCCTCCATCCCGGTCCCTTTGCAGGGTGCGGCTGCCGCCACGATCAACGTCGTCGACGAGGAGGACGCGCTGCGGCTTCGACGCGAGGTCCACCTCCAGCGCCAACGCAAGCTGCTACTCGACCTGCTCAAGGAAAAGCAAAAAGAAATCGATGGAAAATGGACCCTAAACGGTCATGATGACGTCATCGACGGATTTGTTGTCGACGAGCGTCGCACCCCAGCCAAGGCCAACGGTGGCTGGCGACGACGACCTGGCGGCGCCATGTCGATCGACGACGGACTGGACGGCATGGTGGAAGACGGCGTCGACGGCCTGGTCGAAGTCGGCTTTAAGGGAATGCCGGCCAGGCCTCGCCGAGCGAGTCATCACCGCGCCTCTTCGCCGTCGGGAGCCTATAACCCAGCAAACCGCCAGCGCGGCTCGTGGACGTCGACGGGCTCGAGCCACCACCACCACCACCGGACCAACGGCCATCACCACCCTCACGGCAGTGTAAATAACCCCAACGCCAACGCGTACAGGCGGGCCGCGAGGGAGCAGAGCCTGTCGCTCGTCAGCCACGGCGGCGGCCTCAACGAGCTCGACGAGGACGACGAAGCCTCGTCGCCGCCCGAGCTCACGCGGCTCTACGGCGGCTCGAACCACCACCAGCAGCTCGATGAATCGGCGCGAAGGCGGCGGCGACACAGCACCCGAGTGACGCCACCATCGACCGCCTCCGCGGGTCTGGCCGAGAAGCCGGTCGCGTCCGAGAGTCGGCGCGAGGAGCAGGAGGAAGGCGATCTCGATGGCGAGTGGCCCGACGTGGGCGACACGGCCCAGTTTCGCTCGTCGATGCCACCGCTGCCCTCGCACCTGCGCCGACCCAGCCTCGGCTCGCCCTCCTCGGCGGATGCTTCTACGTCGACGACCAACGCCGGCACCAACGGCGATAACTTTGCTGGCCACAGCGCCGCCGCCGCCGCGGCTGCCGCCGAGGACTGCGCGCGGAAGCGTGCGTCGCCCGAGCAGATGCAGATGCTCCAGCAGATCTTGTCCTTCTACGAGCAGAGCCCACAGAAGATCCAGGAGCTAGAGCGCAGCGCCGTGGTGCCGATCCGCCGCCGGAAGCGAAGGAACGACGGCAGCGCCGCCAACGGCACCTGCGCCACTCCTTCGGCCGCGTCGCCTTCGTCGACGCTGGCTGTCGCGCAGCAGGCCCGAGAGGGCGAAGGCTCAGGCTCAGGCTCGGGCTCGGGCTCAGACGATTCCTCCGGTGCGCGCAAGCGACGTCGGCGGGACCGCGAGGTGCTCATCTTCCACCACATGAAGGTGCAGGACGACGGCAAGATGATGGTCACCCAGCGCTCCTGAAAGCCTTCCTTCTCCTTCTCATTCTCCTCTATTACTTTTACCCGTGTACCCGCTCAAGAGAGCGCCCTAGTAAGAGAGTACTACTAGCGTGTTCACAGCAACAGATTGCGGGTTCTCATCATGTAGCCAACGTCTTGGTGTGCTCGCACGCCGTTTGTGTGTGGTGAATTCCTCTGAGTCTGAGCGTATATCTGGGAGTACCGCAGTGGAATCCAGCCACTCGCAGAAGACCAAGCACATGTGCCGTATTGAGGGCAAAAACTACTCACACAACATTATTACAGTAATAATAATTACGCAACTAAAAGAGGGGAATAGATAGAACTTCTATGGTGGTATTCAAACGTAGCGCCGCGCTGGTTATCCAGACCAGCCGACACCAAGAACGTTACAAAGCCGTCAGGTACACATATGGGGTGTTGTGTAACATCAACAAAGGCAATGGTCCGCGAGCCGGGTGGTAGGTTGCAGAAATTCCCACCCACACAGTAATCTCGTAGCGGATCGCTCATGGCCTTTTTGACACCTTGTGGTGAAGGGCTGGTCCACCATTCTGGCCTTTCATCCCTCCGCCACCTTCTCCATCAGGCCATTGTTCAAATACCACGCGGTCGGCATGTGGTTAGTGACTTACCTTAAATAGGGTTACGAATTAGCAGTGTTCTATAAATATATCTTATCGTTGATTGGTTGCAGTAATTAGGCTCGCTTTCCTAAGCCGCACGAAGAGATCGAAATAGCCCCGCTCTGGGGCTATCTTGGGGTGGTACATGACCGATCCTCGTCTCGGTCTTCTGCTTCTTTGGCCTTCACACCCAGCGAAGTCACGGCGCCTTTCACTGCCAGCTCAGTGTCAATTCAGCTGCTGGACCCTGTCACGCCACACGCCGCTGCCTCCGCTTCAGCTGAGCTTGACCCTCCAGTGTGGTGTCAGGTTGTTGATCAAAGGCTCACTGAGTCAGACACTCAGCTGCTTTGGTTGGAAGCGCAAGAAGAAGATGAAGAGAGCGACGGTGGCGGACGGTGAAAATAGGTCGGTCGAATTGGAGGTGGCCGACGTGCTGCTCCAGCTGCAGCACAAGGACGACCCGAGCACTGATGCGCCCACCGACCAAGGGCCGCAAGGCGGCCGGGTCGTCGACCACAGAGATCATTCCTTCGTTCCTACAGCAACGCCACTACATCGTGCCGGCCGGTCACTGACGCGTAGCGACCACACCATCATCCACCTTGCCTCTACTACAACTACTACAACGACCACCCCCGGCGCGGCCTACAGCTTCGAACCGGGGCAGATGCAGCAGCAGCAGCACACATCAACAACATCCTCGGTCCCAAGGAGGCTGGGCATCGACTTTCTGCTCAACCACCCCCCAGCGCAGTCTTCATCTTCCGCGTCGCCTCCGTCCCCATCTTCTTCTTCTTCAGAGTTGTCGTTCGCCCGCCACGCCTCGTGGCCCCCAAGGCCCTACATGATCGAGGAGGAGACCAACACCGCCACGTCTCAGGGCGGCGCTACACGTAGGGCTGATCTGCAGAAGCGGCAGGTTGCGGGCCACTACTTGACGAAGTCGGGCCGGGACTACATCGTCATCGAAGAAGAAGAAGAAGACCAGAACGACTACGCGCTCCACAGCCCCCTCGAGGAGGGCGAGACCGCAACCCAGACCGATCGATGCCTGTCTTCATCGGACGAGGACTACGACGAAGCGGGCAGCAGCCCGCCTCCGGTTCTGGTGGGCTACGGCCTCGCCTCGGTGGCCACGACCGCCACCCGAGCCGCCGCAGCCACCACCTCTAGCGCCAGGCGCCGGCCGCAGCGGGTCCTGGCCCGAGCACCGCAGCCGCCGCTTGGTGGCGATGACCACCGCCGACCACTGCCGGACAGCGCGGCCCGCAAGTGCCTCAACGAGAAGCTCAGGCAGCGGCTCGAGGAGAAGCGACGACGCAGCGCCGAGCAGACGACCAAAGCCACGCCATCATCATCAACACCACCACCACCCGCTGATCAGGAAGCCCACTACGCCCGCCGACGCTCCACCTCCACCCGCGAGGCTGGTGACGAGGAGGAACAGCAGGTCGGGTCGCGGGGATCTTCGCGCGTTGCCGCCAACCTCTCGACGCCGGGCGGTCGGCGAGGCGTGGCGACGAAGAAGGAGCTCGACATCTGGGAACAGCTCATGCTGACATCGGTCATCCAACCGCTCTTGCCCTCGTCTTCCACTCTCGCACTCGCACTCGCACTCTACGCCCACGCTGTCGTCGTCGCTGCCGTCGACTTCGTCATCTTCTTCGTCATCTTCGTCGTCATCGCGGCGCGGCAGTCACCAACAGCAACCTGAGGCGCCCGTGACCTGCATGTGTGCACTCGGCCCGCCTCCCGGGCTCGCGGCCTATCCCTACATCAGCCACGGCCACGGCCACGGTCACAACCACTCCCACCCGAGCGGCCTGCCCCATTGGGGCGGCCCACCGCCGCTAGCCGAGGAGCTGCACCACTCGGCCGACCTCTTCCTCGACGACGACAACGTGAACTGGTACCGAGCAGCAGAAGAGCGAAAGCGAAAGCGGGAACACAAGAACGAAAGCGACGAAGGCGGCGGCTACTACTACGGATCGTACCCACGGCACTTGGCGCGGTCGATGCCTGCCTACCAGTCGCAGGCCTACGACCACCACCGCCAGTCCCGCCGCCCGAGGCTGGATCCAGCAGATCACCAGACCAGCCAGGCACTTCTTGCGCACCCCTACGAAGCTGGCCGCCGCGACATGAGCTCGCCACGCAGGCCGCGAGACAGCAGCGCGCTGGTGTTTCACCACCACACGGGCGCACCGGTGCTCGACGCACGCACCAGGCCCGGTGGCGGCACCCTCCGTGACCACAACCGCAGTCTCGTCGACGTGGATCTGCGTGGGCACTAAGACTGTGTTCCAACTACATTGCAGCAACTCTTATAAACGACATGTCTGGAGCCAACGAACTTTTCCCAGTTACCCACCACAAAAGAATGGGATATTCCTAACCTGGTCGCCAACAAAGCCGACGTGTCGAGGCTCCCCTTGCTCGGCACCGCAACCAAATGGGGGTACCAGTACTACTGGTTGGGGCGCTAATACTTCCGCCAACCAGAAATTTTGTCGACGAGCTTAATTCAGCTCCGTGGAATGATTGGCCCTCAGGGTTTGTGTCGACGGGCGATAAAATGGTGTGGGTCGACCAGGTCGCGCTCCCGCGCTGTACTTGAGCCGACGGTGCCGCGCCACTGCCGCCCAACAGACCAGGCGATAGCGCACAGAAGGGCGAAATTCAATCGAACTCGAGCGGCCGATCACGTAGCGCTGCGTGGGCTGGGGGAAGATTACTGTAAGATAGCGGCCGTGCACTGATAAGTTCATGCTCACCGGCTCAGTGGCGCCACCTATTCATCTCGCTTATCCGCTTGCCCCTTAGCCGTAGCCCAAGCCACACCACCAGACCCGCGCGGAGGGCCAGTGCACAAAACCGCCTCCTCGCCAGACCTTCTGCCCCAAGCCGCCAACTCCTAACCCCCCGACCACCCACTCGGTCACCGACCTCGTCAACCCCTCGCCAAGTACTACAACTCGGCCACTCCGGCCACTGCACATCGCGTCATCGCGCCGGCTGCCAAAGTACTCTCAGCTCGCTCGCACAGCTAGCGTCACACATCTGCGATCCCCAAACCCGGCCGGCCCACGTTCCCATTCCCAAGAAGCCACAACAGGCCTCGGCCGGAAACAGAGCTAGACCAACGAGAGGAAGAAGAAGGGAGGAAACAAACAAAACCAAAGAGAGAGAGAGAGCATGTCCGCTGCTGCCCCGCTCCTGGCCGCCGCGCCAGCGATGGTGCACCACACTAGTACGGGCCGACGGCCTTCGCTGCCTCTCTCGTCGCCACCACCATCTTCAGCCTCCGCCGCTTCATCTTCATCTTCTTCTTCTTCACTCGAGGACCGTGAACGACTGCCGTCGATCAGGGAGCTGTTGGGGGACGTCAACGACATGATGATGGAGCGGAAGAGGTCGGCCTCCATGCCCTCCTTCGACGACCACCACTACGCCGCCGCCGCCGCCGCCGCCGCTGCCGCCGCAGCCCACCACCAGCACCACCATACCTCGCCCACCGTCCACTACGCGAGCCTGCCCGTCGTGGACCACCTTCAGTCGCACCACCACCAGGCCCAGCAGCAGCAGCACCAGAGGCCCTCGTCCCCGCCCGGCGCCGACGAGCGCATGCTGGCCCTCGAGCGCCAGCTTCACGTGCTCAAGCAGCAGAGGGACATCCTCCAGCACCAGCTCGCCAAGCAGGAGCGACACCGCCGGCGGCACTCGCTCGCCGAAGGCGTCGGACCACACCAACACCAGCACCAGCACCACCATCACCCGGCCTATCAACACCACCACCACCACCATCTTCATCAACCTCCTGCTCATCGTGGACACCACGGCTTGCCGGCCGGCTGTCATGAGCCTGCCCTGGGGCACCACCAATCACAGTGGGCCGCGGCTACCCGAGGAACGGGAGGAGCTCATGAACTGCCCCACTACTATCCTCCGCCACCACCTCACCACCACCACCACTACGACCGCGACCACTACGCGGCGCACCAGGCCCAGCGGCACCGTGGTCACCACCACCAGACCCGGTCGTACTCGACGTCGGGCGTCGACGTGGCGCTCATCGCGGCTGCAGCTGCGGCCGCGGCCGCGGTGTCGCCGACGTTGGGGTCGTCGTCATCGTCGCGGAAGCGCAAGGAAAGGGAGCGATGCCTGTCGGCGGCGGACGAGGCGGCGCTGCGGGCGGCGGCAGCATCTGTGCTCGAGTTCCACCAGTACTGCCCGTCGTGCAAGGGCGGCGACGCGGCCGAAGGCGAACCAGTGCCGACGGCGGCGTGCACCTGCAGGCGGAAGAGCATCGTCGCCAGTCCGAGGAGGGAGCGGCGGAAGCAGCACCGACGTCATTCCGCCGGTCGTGCACGACGACGACCATCATCAACATCATCGCCGCCCGTCTACGTTGACCGCGGCGGGCGAGGAGGGCAACGCCATCAACAAGCGGAGAAGGAGATCGGTGGTGGCAGCCACCGCGCCGCAACAGGTGAAGGTGTCGCGAACGAAGCCTGTCACCTTCCATAAGCTAGAGTTTATGTAAAGCAATCCAACAAGCAACAGCACCGTATTTCTTATCGTCTCTTCGTTCTTTGTCGCTCGTCGGAAGAACGAAATGGGTGTTAAAATGTGAAATTTCGCGTGCTCCGGAGACTAGGTTAAGGTGGTCGATTCGAGGAAGTAGGAAGCACAGAGTGGCACGAGATCTGCAGAGATTTTGTAATCGATTGGAGCGGCACGAAACAGCGGCATCTTATTCGCAGAACACACTACAATGGGTGACTCCTCGTACGCCGACTCTTCTTCCATGCCCGATTTTGATGCGTTCCCAGAGCCCAAGCTGGACAACATCGGCATCGATGTCGATTCGATTAGCTACACAAATCCGATGTATGGACTCTCCGGACCCAAGGGCGCCGAATACATCTTCGCGGACGACAACCAGGCCCGAAAGATGTCCTGGGCTGATCGATCAACTTGGCTCTGGGGTGGTGCCTGGCTCACCGGTACTTAGCATCTTCGCAGATTTTTCGTGTAGCGGCGTTCATTTCCGTAGATTGCGTGCTGATTGCGTGCTCCCTTGCTGGCATTTCCCATCAGGTGGAGTGATCGGCACGACATGGGGTGGATTGAAGGGTCTGCGAGATGCCGAGCGTGGTCTGCCGTGGAAGCTGCGATTAAACGCCTGCCTCAACGGTGCCGGCCGAAAGGGTGGCCGCATGGCCAACGGCCTCGGCGTGTTGGTGCTTCTCTACTCGGGCGTCGAGACGGCCACTGCGGCCGCGAGGCAGAAGCAAGATGGTCTCAACATCGTCGCTGGCACCACCATGGCGCCTCTCATCTACTGGAGTGGAGGTACGACTCCTTTTCTTCTTGCTTCCTCTCCCTCGATCAACTCCAGCAATCTCCATCTGCGCTACTTGGATATAATCGTCGCATCTGCATTTGTGCCGTCGCGCTCACACATCGTTTCTCCTCCCCACAGCCGGCCTCATCAGGAGCATGGCGTTCGGCGCGCTTGGTGGCGTTGTTGGGTTCGGGCTTGTCCTGGGTCACAAGTACAACGTGATGGGCCTGCGAAAGATCCTTCCCGCCGACGAGTAAAACCACTTCTCCTCTCCACACACACACCTCCACCACCTTTACTTCATTCTTCTCCCACTTCAATCACCTTCGCCCTCTACTTCTTCTCCTCTTCTTCCGTACACACCTCGACGTCTTCGGCATCAACTTCTCTCTTCACTTGCTCCTCTGCAGCTTCTCCAACCTCTCTGGTTATGACCAGCAGGCGAGGTCTGGCTGCAACAGAGGGTCTCTCCTCTTCTTCTCCTTGCACTCCTACTCTCTTGTATTCATTTGTCTCTCTTTTGGGCTGGTCTGCAGCCACACCCACACCATCAACCTTTACACACAACACTACAAGATAAATACAATACAAGATCATGTTTGCAACCTGTTGGCAACACGCGACCCAGCTGTGCAAATACCACAAATACTGAAACAATAGTTGAAATTACTGTAAGGGATAATTAATGTTGTTCGTTTTGTGCTTGGTTATTGTTCGTGGCGCGTTGGAGGTGGCGCACCAACCCAATTTGGCCCACCGACGGCGATGGAGACGAGTGGAGATGAGCTGCAGATTCCCGAGGGATGGGAATCCATTTTGCACGTGGAGCACGACGGCACCATCGACGCCAAGTACGAAATCTCGCCTTTTATTATTAAAAATCGCTGAGCGATTTATCTTATTATTTGTTATGATTTGTTATTTTTTGGGTTTGGTGTCACTCTTATTTTTACCTTCTGATAACAATTAATAATAAATGATGACTATTTGTAAATAATAATAGGATGCTGCTGCCGCCCACAATACGGAAGAAGAGCCACAGGACCCGCGGCAATTTTCGGGTGGCGTCCCCTATGCTGGGCCGCGCCACCGTCAGCGGCGGACACTCGACCACACCCGGCGGTCGATTGTCGCCTCCGCTCACCACCGAGGAGGCCTTCCTCCGTGGTACGATGACGCACCACACCACACCACACACACCGCACGACACGACACGACACGACACGCATGACACGCACGACACACACCGCAACTCGCAAAGGCTCATGCGTGCCTCGATGTACATTCGCGTGGGTGCGCAGCCATCACCAATTTTGACGTGAGGAGCAAGGGCGACCTGGAGGAAGACGTCGCCGAAACCATTCGCCTCTGCTTGAAGCGGCTCCTCGAACACGAGGACATCCGGTACCGCACCTACACCTCAAACTGTACCCAATCCAATCACTGCTCACCACTTTGCGTTTGTGTTTGCGATTGTGTTTGCGTTTGCGATTGTGTTTGTGTTTGCGTTTGGGCGTCGGTGGGCAGGTACGGGATTGCGGTGTCGATCGATCAGTACCTGATCTCGACGTCGATGCTGCAGAAGCACCTCGACGCCCACAAGAACCTATTGACCACCTCCGAGCAGACCACTTCTTCTTCTTCCTCCTCCTCCTCCTCCACCACCACTACAGCATCGGCGTCGTCCACCTCACCGGTTTCGACATCGCCCACCTCACCGGTTTCGACATCGCCGACGTCAACGACAACGTCAACGACAGCAACGGAAGAGGTCTCGCCGTCGTCATCTCCGCTGTCGCCACGGCTCGACGGCAGCGGCGGCAGCGGCGGCTGGCGCGCGGTCCGCAAGAAACCGCACTCGCTCAACCGACCGCACAGCGAGGGCACGCACCCGGACGACCCGCTCGCGTGGCATCACCACCACCGGCCCATCGACCGCACCGGCATGCTCACCTTTCGAGGGCTCAACGTGGACGAGCTGGCCAAGCGGTTCAAGCGCCGGCGGTTCAACCGGGCCAAGGAGGAGGAGGTGCTCGACAAGATCCTGGAGACCGCGCGAGAGACGCGGAGCAGCGGCGGCGCGGTCGAGATGGAGGACGTCCTGCGCGATCTCAGTACGTTCTGCGCGCGTGTCGTGTCGTTGGCCGTGTCGTGTGTACGAGAGAGTGGCGTGTGTCGTGTCGTTGGTCGTGTCGTGTGTATCGTGTGTCGTATGCGGTTGGGTCTAGGGCTGACGCGAGCGATGGTGTCAGTCGTTGAGATTCTCTGCGGGTGGGAGATCGACCGAGCGGTCTGCCTGAAATTAGTCCACGGCGTGGTGGTGACTCGCAAGCAGAAGCCCACCCTCTCGCGCAAGGTGAGCGTGCTCGGCCTCGGCAAACGGTACACCTCACCTATTTATTTATTTATTTATTTTTTTGGCTCACACGCACGCGCGTTGCACAGACTACCACCATTCTGGGGCAACACGCTCACCTGCAAAGCCATCACAACCTACTGCGCCATCAAGCAGGTCTACATGCAGGTATGGCACACGCACACGCACACACCGCACACGCACTCACGGCCGCACGCACGCACGCACGCACACGCGCCATCTGCGCACTCGCACTCACACCAGCATGGATGTCTGGACAGATTGTTGATAGTTATTTTCGTACGCGGGAGCCGATGCTGGGGCGGCTGCTCAATCCCGACTACTACGGGCGCCTGGGCGGCGCCTGCTTCTACACGCTGCTCCTCGCCACCAAGAAGACGAGCAACGACAAGAAGAACCTGCTTCGCTTCGTGCTCGAGTGGGAGTTCGGCAAGGACCGGATCGGCATCGACCTGCGCAAGCTCAGCGGTGATGCCGTCAGCGTCGGCACCATCCGGCGCAACCACTCCAACGACAACAATGGCGGCGGCGGCGGCCAGCTGACGTCATCAGATGACGTCAGCATTCAGATCGGGGTCAACGCGCGCAGTCTCGCGGCGAGTTCGGTCAACGTTGACTTGACCGGCCCTGCGGCGACGGGCACGGTCGACGCGTCGTGGCTCGAGACCGAGCTCGTGGGTCCGTGGATGAGCAACTTTGCGCGCAGCCGCGAGGCGTGGAACGGCGAGAAGCACCTCGTTGTCAAGGGCGATGGGCGCGTGAGCCGCGAGCGGTGGAACGAGGACAACGCCATCATCCTCGACGACCCGCCCGAGACGCACGACCTCTGGCGCACCGAAGCCGAAGGCACACACCGCACACACTCTCATCGTTGTGTGTCGTGTCGTGTCGTGTCGTGTCGTGTCGTGTCGTGTCGTGTCGTGTGGTATTGATGGCTGTTTGTGTGCAGAAGAGGAGAAGGTGTCGCGGCTCTTCACGCTGGCGAAAAGTTTTGGCGCACGCAGCGACAAAAGCCGTGGAACCTGTACTACCAGGAGATCGCGCAACGGCCCGACTTTCCGCACAAGATCGGCCGATCGAAGGAGCTGAAGAGCATCATCCGCACCCACGGCATTCTGCCCGACCTCCGGGGCAAGTTCTGGCAGGTAAACCAAACAAACCGCACGACACGCACGGCGTGACACGACACGACACAAAGCACGACACGCACGGCACGGCACACACGGCACACGACGACACGCGCGCGGCGGTTTTGGCTTACGTCGTGGCGTGGCGTGGACCAGGGCCTGAGCGGAGCCAACGCCAACAAGAGCCTGTTCTCCTACCAATCCATTTTGCTCAACTGCAACCGAGAAACCAAACACACTGTACAAATCGAAAAGGTATTGTGTCGTGTGTCGTGTCGTGCGCCGTGCGTGTTGTGTGTCGTGCGTGTCGTGTCATGTGCTGAGCAGCTGGTTGTGGCGTGGGGGTGGGTGCAGGACCTGAAACGAACCTTCCACGGCAACGAAGCGCTGGGCAAATCGGACGAGGAGGGCATTGCCGCCCTACGGCGCGTTTTGACCGCTTACTCGTGCGTCAACACAGGTCAGTCAGTCAGTCCCATCTGTCCGACCTCTCCCCCCCGACCACCGCCCTCACATCAGAATGCGCCCCGCACCACCGCACGCACGACACGCACCACCGCACGCACGACACGCGCGGCACGACACACGCAACACAACGCGCGCGCACACGCTCGACGATCCAGATGTGGGGTACTGCCAGTCGATGAACTTCATCTGCGCGCTGTTGCTACTCTTCATGGAGGAGGAAGACGCCTTCTGGATGCTCATGACGCTCATCGAGGTTCGCCCGCTCCGCCTTTCTTGTCCCGTGTGCCGTGCGTGTCGTGTCATCCGTCGTGCGTAGCGTGTTGTGTCGTGCGTGTGCCGTGCGTGTCGTGTCGTGAGTCGTGCGTGTCGTGTGTCGTGTGCCACGAACTCACCGCGAGCCATCAAAATAGTACCTGCTGCCGTCCGACTTCTACGGTAGCACCATGGAAGGGATCATCATCTACACGCAGGTCTTCTCGAGCCTGCTCAAGACCCGCCTCCCGCGATTATCCGCCCACCTGGACCACCTCCAGGTACGCCCCCCCACCGCAAATGATGTCGTTGTGTGTGTCGTGTGTGTGTCGTGTGTGTCGTGTGTGTCGTGTGTGTCGTGTGTGTGTGTGTGTGTGTGTGTCGTGTGTGTCGTGTGTGTCGTGTGTGTGTGTCGTGTGTGTGTCGCACTGACCAATCGCAATGTAGATGAACATATTGCCGGTGCTACACCATTGGTTCCTGTGTCTCTTCGTGACCGTGCTCCCACTCGACGTATTTCCAACGGACCTCCCCTCGTTTCCTTTTTCTTTAACGCACGTGCAACTCACGCATCATCGCACACACGACACACACGGCACGACACGCACGGCGCGCGACACACGACACACGCGCGGCACAACAGACGGTGCTGCAAGTGTGGGACAGTCTGTACTACGAGGGGCCGTACGTGCTGTTCCGCGTGGCCCTCGCCCTCTTCAAGATCAACGAAGCCGCCCTCCTCGGTACTTTCTTCATCATCGACCCTAGTCCTCCCCTTTTCTCACCGCACACGTCGCACACGTCGCACACGCACATGCACCACCGCACACGCGCACGCGCACGACACACAGACACGACGGACAATGCGGACTGCTTCTACATGATCAAGCAGCTCCCGCAGAGCGTGAGCAAGGAGGAGCTGATGGCGGCTGTCTTCGCCAAGGGGAGCACCATGCGCGGCCTCAAGGCCGACGTTGGCCGCCTCCAGGCCGCCTGCCGCGCCGCCTCCGCCCTCGACCCCCACAAGCGCCGCGCCTCCTACAGCTCGGCCGACCTCAACGCATCGTCCGCTGCGTCGGCGTCGGCCGCGTCGTCGGGCGGAGGCGTGTCGCCTCGTCGGTCGACGACACACGGCCAGCCCGCGGCGGCAGTGGCCACGGCAGCATTGACGTCGACCGAGGCCGCCGGCGCCGGGCCGTCGCTGGCCTCGCTCTCGTCGCGCCTCCGCACCAAGGCGCCCATTCCCACGCCCACCAGCACCGGTGGCGGTGATGACACGTCAGCATCGACATCGGCCACGTCAGCATTAGCCGCGTCGACCGAGGAGGCGCCGCCGCCGCTGCCGCCCAAGGTGTGGAAGCCGTCGTCCAAGTCGCGGATCTACAGCAAGACGGTGGACCCGCACATGTACCAGAGCCTGCGCACTCGGTGGCTCGAGCAGATCGAGCAGCGCACCAAGGGGCCGAATGCCGCCGGCGACGGCGAGGCCGAGGCCGACCACACCAAGTCGCCGCCGCTCTCGCCGTCTATGGAGAGCGCCGGCGCCGGCGCCGCGCCGCCGAGCCCCGCGTTCAGCGACTGGATCGAGCGACTCAAGACCAAGTCCGCCGCCGACGGGTCGCCCTCGAGCGGCTCAGTGCGTGCGCTGTTGGACGCGCAGAGGGGCCGGCACCAGGCCGAGGCCGAGGCGGAGGTGGTGGAGGCGGAGGCGGAGGCGGAGAAGCCGAAGGGGTCGTCGGTGCGGGTCGGGCTGGTGTCGGGCCACGGCTTCCACAAGCGGACGGTGATCATGCAGCAGCGGCGGAAGGCCGACGAGCACAAGGTGCTGGCCCAGCTCCACCCGCAGTACGCCCAGACGCGCTACCGCCTCTCGTTCCTCATCCGCGCCAACGAGGACCAGGGCTCCGAAGGTAAGCCCACACGACACACGACACACACGCGACACGCACGACACACGACACACGCGACACGCACGACACACGCACGACCGCACACATTAATGGGTACATTGTTTGTTGTTTGTTTGTTTGCAGAGTATCGCCAGCTGATGCCGCAAACACGGGTGCTGCGACCGAACGGGCACTCGCACCGCACGCAGAAGGAGCTCGCCCAGACGTTCGAGTGAACCCAACCAACACTGGCGACTTTTCTGGGGCGGAATTGGGGTCTCCTCTTCCTCCGACCAGTCTCGCCATAAAGACAGGAGTTTCATTTTCGTTCTACGAAATGAGCCAATAATAGTGGGAAAGAGCCGAGAACTGGACCACAGATATGTTAGTGGAAAAGGAGGCAAAGGCAAAGACCAAGAAGAAGTCTTCGCCCAGCCGAGAAACAAAGTCAGTTTGCGCAGTCATGGCTCCGAGCCTCATCCCTTCAATCGATTCTTGTGGTTGCCGTCGTGGTCTTGTTGCGCTCGTCCCCTTCGGACGCCGTGTTCCAGCCCCAGCCCCAGGCCGCCAGCTGCCCGGCCCTCACTTGGAAGCTTCCCTGTACGTCGGT